TCAAATCCAGATATTTTAATCTAAAGATACAATGAAAATATTCTGTAAGCTTCAAAAGACCCTTTGATATTTCTAATGAGATAAATACTGAAACAAAACTCTTTAGTGAAATCTAAATTATTATAAGATCTGATTCATCTTGAAATTATTCTAGAATTTTCCTCTAAACTGATTAGGAAGTTCCTAAAACAAAGCTATCTATGAAATATAGGAAAATTAATATCCTCTCTCCCAACAGCAACTTAATCTTTAATATGCAGAAATTTAAAGTTTTAACTGGTTAATTCATTGATTGCTTGTGATGAGACAGTATTAAAAGCAACATTTCATTTAATAAATTTGCAGAAAAATACACAATAAAGTCTAAATTATCTAAAAAAGACAAGCACATTCCAAAATTCGCATGATTGCAGCTTGCACTAGAGATGATAAAGTGATGTTACTATTAACCAGGGCTCTTACAGAAGTTTTACATTCCTCTATTCCTTACCAAGCTTGTGACATAACTTACCTATAAAATCCAAATTAGAAAAAATTTACTATTATACTGATTGAAATTTCCTCATATCACTGAAGTGCACGTTCAAAGCATCCCTATAAAATGCAAAAGTTTCCTATCATTTTCTTAGGTCCTTATTAATTGCAGATGGCTCCTGTGGCTTTGAAGATGGTATTTAATTTTATCAAAAATAGAGATCCTCATTCTTTGTAAACCAAGCTTCGATACTTATCAATATCACTTTACTTAATATTTTAGGAAACAAATTGCCTCTTATTTTAAGGATATAAATTCTTTAATAAGCATCATTGCTTCACCTGAGTTAAGTAAAGCTTTACAAATGTGCTACCGGCAGCATTGAATGATTTATCTATGCATGATTTGTGATTAGTGTATTAAATTAAGAGATAAATTTTAATGTATAATATGTCAAATCATCACAATGATATTAAAAGTATATTCTTTTTAAAAATAATTCTATAAAAAACTATTAGCCTACTAGGGATTGATCAAGGCGCTCATATTATCAAGATAAAATCAATCAGATGACTATCATCTCGTGAATCCTTACAGAATTTTCTAAAACAATTTTCATTAAGTTTTTCTTGAATTCACAAAAGTTCATATAAAAATGTTAAAAATAAAGCAAACTAACCAGATATTTAAAAGTCCAAACAATAGTCTACTGAAGATACTTGATTAATAGTTCTTAATAAAAACACTCTGCTTTAGAAGATATATACTATCTGATCTAGCTAAAGATGCTAATTACAACAGTAGGAATGAATTTTAATGAATAAATATCAAATATAAGATGGCAGTTATTATTAGGTCAGAAGATAGTAACCACAGAAGTATGGGAAATAATAAAAGGAATTAATTTAAGGTAAGATTATGGAAATTTATTTGAGATGGTGATACATGGCAATAATCTAAAGATTTCATAGGAAGCGGGGTTCCAGAAATAATATAAACTATATCAAAAAGAATATTTGAAAGGATTATAGAAATGCACTATGAAAGCTTTATTTTGAATAATTAACAAAAAAAATTAATCATGGAAGAGCAATTTTAATAAAATCAATCGTCTTAGCAAAGAGAAATCATTATTATAAGCAATGAAGCTTTCTTGAACAATAAGATCTATAGCCGATGAAAAATAAGCACTATAAGAGTGATTGACAGATTTAGCAGATGATGGTGAAGATAAGGCCTCAAATTAAGATGTAGAGTGAGATAAAAACTCATCGGAATTCCAATAGTTATAATTACTTCGAAATTTTAATAAGATGCCACTGAATTTATAGGAATGGAATAAATTCAGGCTATTTATTAGAATTATGACAAGATAGAACCTGATTGGGGAGAAATGCTCTTTCAAACAAGAGTATAATTTGTAAAAGATAGATTCAAGCATATTTTAAAGTAATTCATTATGATAAATCTCAACAACAATAAATCAAAGTTTGATGAAGAATAAATATTAATAAAAAGCCTCTGGCCTCCAGGTAAACAAGATCAAAGATATCATGCATGCTTACATAATTCATTTGTTGATTCTTATTTTTGACGCCCTTTGCTGATACAGTTGACATTTTTCTTGCTTATTATCAATCAAGATGTCAAATGAAAAATTAAATGAAGAATTGCAGAGTAGCAGAGTTTTAATGGGGCACTGTTCAGTTTAAAAAAATTTGAAGGATCATAAAAAATAAAGTTAATCAAACCAGTTTAAATCCTATCAATGTAATTCATTACACTTACATATCTCAATAGCATTTCCGGAATTGACATAGATATTAATGATTTCTTAAGATTTAATAGACTATCAAGAAAGATAATACAAAATAAAGCTACAGGACTATGAAAATTGAAGAATAGGGAAATCATATGAGCTAAAATCATGCTGGTTCAATGTATGGAGCCAAGAAAGTATGGTATTGCATAATAGCTCAGAAGACATATTAATCAACTTAGAAAAAGAGAAGGAGTTCACCAAAAAATGGATTTATTAAATGTAATTGAAATGGGGGCAGATTCTCCACATCGGAAGCTGAAATGTGCATTCCTTCTAGAATGAAACTTAATTTTATTAGGGTAATTACTACTTAAAAAGTGGTAACAAGAGAATGTAAGTCTGCAAAAGAAAGATAGTAAAAAGAAGGATGCTGTTATTGAAGAACCTAAAGAGGATTCTAACATAAAAAAAAGCTATATACTATCAAAAAAAATCTCAGAGATATAAGGTTCTTGGCATTTTGGATGTATTACTGACAGGCTAGCAATAAGAAGAAGCTGCAAAAAAATTATACAGTAAACAAGAAGGAAAACTAATCTATAAAAAAAGTAAAATTAAATTAAAGAATAATCTGTAAAGGATGAATATGTTTAAAATTATCTTGTTGAACTAGAGCAAGTAATGCTTCATGAGAATGATTTAATGGACATTGAAGATGAGATGATGATGGGTAAACATTTACCTTGCCGAGAACTATTTGATGAAAAGTAGTATTAATTAATACCATTCATTGTTAAAATGTCATACCTAGAAAAAACAAATGAGAAACTGAAAGGTTACTTCAAATCATATGAAGAAAAAATAACAAAAATTTCAGTTAGGAGAAAAATGCCTATCAAAAAATAGATCTTGCAATTGGTTTAATAAAAGCATAAACTCTTATATAAAAGCTCATAAAAATATATTTCAAGAGGCTAAAGATTTCTTGAAAGCTTATATTATGGTCATATATTGAAAGTTTATACTCATTTATTTGATGAGAACAGGAGCAAAAATGAAATGAGTTAAATGAGAGAAGCATGAAAAAGTGAGCACTAGAAAGAAAGTTAAATCAATTCAGGAATAGTTTGATCATTTGTAATTTATTAATT